TTCTAATCTAATAATTTAGACAAACCCTGTTTGATCCCTTTGCTCTTTGTTGTATATATGTATATGTATGTAGAGTAGGACCTCCATATCTGCTGGGGATTGGTTCCAAGCCACCACCCCTACGGATACTAAAAACTATGGATAACAGTGAACACCATATACAGGGCATGGTAAAAGGGGGGAGGAACTGGAAAAATTTTATCTGCATTACAAGAACTGGCCACTAGAGGGTGTGAGGGACCATGCTATGTACCGTAGTCTTCGTTAATAAGTATTCATAGCAGTCTCTGGCTCCCTTTAGTGTCTGGTTCTGGTAATACATGTGAAAACAGTTTTTTTTTCTGGATTTTTAATATTTTCAGACCATGGATAAGTGAAACCCTTAATACTGATCCTGCGGATACAGGGGCCCTACTGCACAATGCAATGGTGTAACCAGAACACATGGGCAAAGCCCTGGCACTTTCTGATCAGAAAGAACTATACCAACATCTGCCACCAAGCCCTCGCCCAGATCTTTATGTTTTTTCTGAGCTTAGCTGAAATCCTCAGAGCAGCTGGAAGAAAAATGCATTTTTTCCAGAGGCAGTAAATTGTTCCTAAGATAGTTCTGTTCTAATGCAAAGTATATGAGGATATGTATTCTCAAAGGCTTTCACGGCTGGGAACACAGACAAGAGTTCTGACTCCTGTCCTCTGAAGATGCCGGCCACAGAGACTGGCGAAACGTTAGAAAGAAGAAAAACCTCCAGAACACAGCCCAACAGCCCAGAAAACCTACAACTATATGAGGATAATTTGTTTTTAAAGGGCTATTTAGAGCCATTAGCTTAACAAAATGTCTGCTCCTCATTTGTTTTTATGGGCTATTCATTTGCCCGCATTTTAAGGGGGGGCAGGTGGGTGCGATGGGGCCACAGTTTCGAGATTATCACTGGTGTAATGAGAGAAGGGGGTGCGGGGAGAGGCCTTTTTTTAAAGGGCTATTTAGAGCCATTAGCTTAACAAAATGTCTGCTCCTCATTTGTTTTTATGGGCTATTCATTTGCCCGCATTTTAAGGGGGGGCAGGTGGGTGCGATGGGGCCACAGTTTCGAGATTATCACTGGTGTAATGAGAGAAGGGGGTGCGGGGAGAGGCCTTTTAGCTAGACATGGTAATAAACCTATGAGTTGGTCACGGCTTAGTGCCTGCAAGGGGTTAAGATCACCGAAGAGAGCCCGGGGAGGGAGGACCACAAAGATGCCAGCTGTGGCTTTCAGCTGGAGAACTTTGTTCTTGAGTGTTGAGAGACCAGGAGACAGAGTTGCCTTGCTTTGAGTGGCCACAACGCAAAGGACAAAAGTGCACTAATAGTAAGAGGAGAGGAGTGTTGAGTCAGGCGCACTTGCTTTATTCTCCTGTTTCTCCTGAGCTGACCACTTTGCATGGTCTTTGTATCAGCCAAGCTGTGACCAAAGGTTGAGTCTTTTGTCGGTGGTTCCCAGCATTTGCGATCTGGCGGAGTTCCCTTTTCTCCCTTAGTTGGGTCTTGCTGGAGAGATGACTCAGGGGCATCAGCAGTTTCTAACAAAAAATCCTTTATTCCTTTGACAACTTGCTCAATTCAACATTAACAACCGACTCCGACTCTTCCTTCAGGGACGTAGCGCCTTCCCCATCCTCATTCAGCCCTAACAAGCCCCCTTCTCATGGCATCCGGGCAGCAAGAACTCCGGCCTCTGCAACCCCTCCTCCGTGGAAGGCCCCATCGATCAGCTTGGCTTGCAGCTGACCTTCTTGGGGAGGGTGGAAAACCCAGCCCCCCTCCCCGGTGGCTCCCCATATTTTCCTGCCCGGGTTTGGCCTCATCCTCACAAGGTTTCCCAGGACGGTCATCCCTGAACTTTCTCCTTCGTTCTCTCTCTCTTCTGTCTCCCCCCCCCCAGCAAAGTGGCTTTCTATAGGTCTTCCTCCATTCTTTCTCAGCAGAATCCCTGGGACTTTAAGCTCCGTCCACTCCCCTGTCCAGTGGTCCTCCTGGACTCTCCCTACCCGGTCCTTTTTCTCTCTCCTCCTCCTCTTCCTCCACCCAACAGAATCCCTTGGGACTCCATCCACTCCCCTGTCCAGGGGTCCTCCTGGACTTTCCCCACCCAGTCCTTTTTTCTCTCCTCCTCCTCTTCCTCCACCCAACACGCTTCTCCTTCTTCCGTTTGCAACGACCCCCTTCCCCCTTTTTTTACTCCCCTCTCCCTTTCCTGCCGAAAGGACGCCCTCCGGTGGTTCCTTCTCCTCTTGTCCTTTCTGCCCCTGTTCTTCCAAATACAGTCCCTTTAGGTTCTCCTCCAGGGTGGGCATCTGTCCCTCAGTGTCTTCAGCCGAGGAGGCGGACAAGTACGCTCTGAGGGGTGCCCCCTTAGCTTAGTTTACTTTCATCCTCACAAGCATCCAGCAGCAGCCATTTGCAAATGCACATTGTGTTGTTCAGAGCCTGCAAATGTTACTTTTGCGACTACAGCCCCCAGCATCCTCCAGTCTCCTAGACTGCTGATCAAAAAAGTAACATTTCCAAGCTGTTTGTTTTTTTAAAAAAACCTTTTTTGTAAATGAGTAAGAGGTTTGTCTCCTGTGCCTAAAATTGCAACATTGCTCCCAATGACAGTTACTCCCTTCAGATACTGAGTGGTCTGTGTCCTCAGAAGTGTGTGTGTGTGGAGGGGGGAGAGGTTAGGAAGGCATCTTATGCAGGTAGTGTTACAGATTTTCAAATTTCTGGTTAAATTTCCCTAGCTGGTCAGCAGAAGTGCAGGAACTCACCGAGCAGAATTAGCTTCAAGTCCAGTTTAGTTTACCCCATTTTTATATCATCTGGCACTTACAGTCTCAATAACTTACTTTCTTTACTTACAGTGGAAGAGAGCAAACAGCAAACTAAGAATAAATATGACTGCCTTCTACAAGATACCTCAACAGACTGACTGAGAGGCTACTAAGGCTACAGGCTACTAAGGGGGGGGGGGAAGAGATACATGTGAGAGGGGAAACAGATAACATCTAACCTTATGAAGTAGGGAAATGGGTTTGGAGGGATTTGGGATGGGACCAGATCAGAAGATCACCCGATGTATCCTGCGTCTTATTGTGTCACTTCACACGGCTTTCGTGCATGTAGCTTTTTCAAGAGGACACCAGCTCCTTATTAATGCTTCCCAGGCCCAGCAGAATACAGAATTTAATGACTAACAGGAATATAGGAGTCTATATAAATCTTCAAGATTCACAATAAATAAACAATACTTTAAAAAAATTGACTTTGTTTTTGCTGAAACAAATCGACAAGACTCTCTGAAACCCAGTAATTATGGCACTAAATATATAAAATATCTTAGTTGATATCACATTCTGATTTGGGTTCTTAAACTTGAGAAATCATATCAGGTGTATTGTTGCTGAGATAAAGCCTCCTTTGAAAAATGATAACCCACATTTCTCTGAAATTTCTGTTGAAATTTCTGTTTTGATCGCGTTTCAACAGAGATCTTCAGATTCTAGTTCAGGGGGATAAAAGGCTCACTCCAATTTTAGTTTCGAAACCAGTTTCAGTCCCTGTTTTCCAGGGTGGTTAAATTTTTTTGTTTTGTTTTTAATCAAATGTAAATTTGATGTTAGGGATGTGGTGGCACTGCGGGCTAAACCGCAGAAGCCTCTGTGCTGCAGGGTCAGAAAACCAGCAGTCGTAAGATCGAATCCACGCGACGGAGTGAGCTCCCATCGCTTGTCCCATCTCCTTGCCAACCTAGGAGTTCGAAAGCATGCAAATGCAAGTAGATAAATAGGGACCACTTCGGTGGGAAGGTAACAGCGTTCTGTGTCTAAGTCGCACTGGCCATGTGACCACGGAAGATTGTCTTCGGACAAACGCTGGCTCTATGGCTTGGAAACGGGGATGAGCACTGCCCCCTAGAGTCGAACACGACTGGACAAAAATTGTCAAGGGGAACCTTTACCTAAATTTGATGTACATTTTAAAAACTGCTTTTTTATTCAAATCGTCAAAAAATCTGATTTTTATAATTTAATTCGCAATTTAAATCCATTTGATTTAAATCAAACCCACCCAGCTGTTTACACCGAAAACTAGGCGTGGTGCTCATCTTCTCTCGCAACAGGACTAAGCAATGGCCAGGAATGCCTTTGCCCACTGAAAGCTTTCACTTTCATCAGAAGTCTCTCCCAGTCATTGCTGCTTTCTGCCAGTAAGATGGTGTCATTCCTTGAGATGTCCGATCTGGCCACCGTGACACATGCCTTCGTTGCATCTCATGAGGATTACTGCGAAGTGCACTATGTGGGCTGCCTTTGAAGAACATTTGGAAACTTCAGCTGGTTCAAAACGTTGCAGCCAGACTGCTAACTAGCAGTAGTTCTAGGGAGCAAGTTCTTGTTGATATGTGCCACCAAGGTGCCTCCGATTTATGGCATCCCTGTGAATGGGCAAACTCCAAGATGCCCTGTCCTCAACTGCCTTTCTCAGCTCCTGTAAAATCAAGCCTCTGGCTTCCTTCAGGAAGTCAATCCACCATGTACAGTATTTGGCCTTGCTGTTTTCCTGTTCCCTCCAACCTTTCCCAGCATTATTGTCTTTTCCAGTGAATCCTGGCTTCTCATGATGTGCCCAATATACAACAGCCTTAGCTTCAACATTTTTTGCCACCAGGAACAGTTTAGGATTTATTTGCTCTGGGACCACTTGTTCATCTCTCCTCCAGCACCACATTTCAAGCGAAACAATTTTTCTCCTTTCAGCTTTCTTTATTGTCCAGCTTTCACAGCCATACATAGCGATCAGAAATACATGGGTGTAGATGACCTTAGTTTTGGTCTCCATTGACCCATCCTTACGCTTGATGATCTTTTCTCATTCCTTCATTGCTGCTTTTCCTACGTCTCAGCCTCCTTCTGATTTCCTGGCTGCAGTCTCCTCTTGAATGGATCATTGAACTTGACTTAGGCATCCTTCAGTCTTGAGAGACTATGGTAAATTGAACTAATTGAATGAGTGTAGATGACCTTAGTTTTGGTCTCCATTGACCCATCCTTACGCTTGATGATCTTTTCTCATTCCTTCATTGCTGCTTTTCCTACGTCTCAGCCTCCTTCTGATTTCCTGGCTGCAGTCTCCTCTTGAATGGATCATTGAACTTGACTTAGGCATCCTTCAGTCTTGAGAGACTATGGTAAATTGAACTAATTGAACGAAGGCATCCGAAATCTCTGTTTCATCTTCATTGTCAATGTTTCTGTTGTCATGGTTTTTGTCATGTTTTAAATGTTTGGTTGCAGTGGCACTTTCATCTTTCATCAGAAGTCTTCCAGTCGCTGCTGCTTTCTGCCAGGAAGACGGAGTCATTTGCATGTCCCTCCCTGGTTGCAACAACTTCATGGGCTGCTGGCCTGTTTCCGGGCTCAATTCAAAGTACCGGTTATTACCTATAAAGCCTTGCACAACTTGGCTCCAGGTTTGTATCACCCCTATATGGGACTAGGTAAAGGTAAAGGTTCCCCTTGACAATTTTTGGTCCAGTCGTGTTCGACTCTAGGGGGCGGTGCTCATCCCTGTTTCCAGGCCATAGAGCCAGCGTTTGTCCGTAGACAGTCCTCCATGGTCACATGGCCAGTGCGACTTAGACACGGAACGCTGTTACCTTCCCACCGAGGTGGTCCCTATTTATCTACTCCGGTTTGCATGCTTTCGAACCGCTAGGTTGGCGGGAGCTGGGACAAGCGACGGGCGCTCCCTCCGTCACGTGGATTCGATCTTACAGCTGCTTGGTCTTCTGACTCTGCAGCACAGGCTTCTGCGGTTTAGCCCACAGTGCCACCACGTCACTACTTGCCTATTAAGATTTTCTGAGCTTCACCATCTTCCCAGGCTTATTTGGTGAGGACACGTGAGAGCGGCTCAGTAGCTATTCCCAGGCTTTGGAACGCATTTCTCTGAGAAGCCGTATGTGTTAGACGGGGAGCCCTGTTGTCAGCTGCTAGTGGACCCCTCAAAATGGGGACTGAGGGGAGAACCTAACTGAGGAAGATGATTCAGAGGGAGCATCAGGGGTCATAGGGTTCTGGCCTAGCAGTACAGCTGGAGGAGACTGTGGGCAGATGATGCACCTGAGCGGAGGGGAGCGGTCTCGATATATAAAATGGAAGGGAAGGAGGATTCATGCAGAGATTAAAAACAACAGAAGGTTTTGTGGCACTTTAAAGACTAAAATATTTTATTTTACAGAAGGCTTTGTGGACCTCAGCCTGCTTCATCAGATACAGGTGGGTTTAAGCCAAATAAAGCTTAGGCCAAAGAAAACTGCTTTTCATTAAGATGCCACCAAAGTCTTGCAGTGGAGCCCTGTTGCAGCAACGTGGCTGTTATTCCCTTCCCTGAAAACACCCAGGCATGGCGAAGAAATACAGCGCTGTACGTCTGAGGCGCTGACCCCCAGCAAGGCTCCCGCTCTTCCCCTGGCTGCTCCCCCACCCCCAGCACCCTGTCCTGGAGCCCATGTGCCTCTGCGCTCCACGCGGCGTGGCCCTGGCCAGGTATGGGACTCACCTGGCTGATCTGGCTGCTTCTTGGCTGCGCGTTGCTCTCCTGCTTCTCTGCCAAGCAGAGCATCTGGTGTAACATTGCCGCATACTCCCGGTCGCTCTTGGCTCGCTGCCCCATCCACTTGCGCAGCCCCTCCAGCAGGCGCAGCTCGGCTTCCTGCAGCTGCAGCAGGGCGCTGTGGCCTTCAGGGCACCCCAGCTGGAGCCCGAAGCCCATGGCGGCCAGGCGCTGGGCAGGCGGCAGGCTGGGCCTCGTCTCCTGATGCCAAAAGCTAGTGAGGCTGTCGCCCCTCCCGCAGGAGAGCAGGGAGCCGGGCCCTTCCCAGGCAGCGAGGCGAACCGAGAGGGCAGGAAGGGAAGGTGCCTGACCTTTTAGCCGGCGACCCAGCTCTCATCTCCTTCAGACACTGCTTTGATAATGGTGGCTTGTGGCCTCTCTTCCCTTTCGCAGCTCGCAGCCTGCGCTTGCTTCCTCATTGAGGTTGGGGCATTTCCTCAGAATTTCAACAAGGAACTCTTTGTCTTGAGAACCAAGGCTAACGCACGGGGAGGGGGGGGGCAGGGCAGGAATGAAACACCTGCCTAGCCACTCCGGAGGTCCCACAAGCACTTCAGCGGGCTTGGAAAAGCCATATCGGTTTGAGGTGCTCACTGCCCATACACCCCATCAGTTGGACTGAGGAGAAGCTTCAGTGGGACTGAGGGGAGGGCCGTTTGCGTGAGTGAACGCCCCTGTTGCAGTCTCAAAGCGGTCCTGGGGGCCGGGCGACGATGAGGGCAAGGGTACAGAGGGACGTTTGCTCTCCCCTTCAGACCTCAGGGCCATTGGTGTGAGTGGCACTGGCAGCCTTCCCTCTGTGTGGGTTTTCTGGCTAGAGGGCTCCATGCTGGAGTGAAGCGGACCCTTGCTCACCAGCAGGAAAGCTGGGCACAATTTCCACACACACCACCTAAAAAGAATCCCTTGGGTGTTGCTATGCGGAGTCTGCGTTGCCAAGCTCCGTAACAGAAACAGGAAGGCCCGCTGGTATTGCAAGAATCCCTCTTCCTGTGTTTTGTTTTGCTTCAACCCCTGAAATCGGCGTCCAGAGACAGAAAGAGGCTGAGAAAGAAGGTCCTTGCTCTCTCTCTCTCTCTCACACACGCACACACACGCACACGCACACACACACACACACACTCCTTCCCTCCCTCTGCAGGGCAATATAGCATCAGCTCTCCCATTTTGGGAACACTAGGAGTTTGGAAGCCCCCTTCCCTCCCTCTTCAGGGCAATATAGCATCAGCTCTCCCATCTTGGGAACACTAGGAGTTTGGAAGCCCCCGTGGCCTAGAGAGCCCACTAGCCAGCCCAGACATTTGGAGAGGGCACTTGGCCAGCCCTGGTCTTCCCAAATGCAAAGGTAACAGAGACTAGAGACCCCAGAACAGCTGGCAGGATGAGGGATGAGCCATGACTGCATGACAGAAAGCTGGCAGCTCTTTGTCCTTTGTTCTCTTCCAGAAGCTAACCCAACAATGTGGCCTCCCGCAAGCCTGCTGGGTGAATGGACACACAGCCCGTGCTGGACGTGAGCAGTGGTTGTCCAGTCCCGACTGTGACCTGGGCTACGGACATGCCTCCGTGCCTGTATAACTGGGAGACCGGGCTCTGCCCTGCCGCAAGGCAGTGAGTGGCATTCGTCCGTTCTTTCTCCTGCCAGAGAGGTGGGTTTGCAGCAGTGGCCTATCCTGCCTTTTCCCAGATATGGAGAACCTGATTCCTGTCCTCGTGTGACAGACTAGGGTCTAGGAACCCCATGCCTGTTTTAGGCAGGTTCCTCCCCACCCTCCAGGGAAGCTTCCTCTTGTAACGTGTTTTCCTGGCCCAGAAGCGAGGAGAATGACACTCTTGGAGCCAAAAGTGGCCCAGACTCCACCAAATCCTGGGTCACAGCAAACAGTCTCCCAGCCAGCCAGTCACAAGAACATTCATGCTAGAACCACACAGACCATAGGCGTATTTCCTCCCACATCACTTCCTCTTTCACACAGTGGCCAAACGCCACCAGCAGCAGGATGTTTGGGCAATAGGCCTCTTCTTCTCCTACACAGCAGCATGTTGCCTGGGGTCTAGGCACACCCCTTCCTGTCATTGGTGAGACTTGCACGCATCTCGCAAACAGGAACAATTCCACACACATTTAAGCACTTTTGACTCTGCGTCATACACACAGGCAGCAATACACTAATTTTACTGGCTCTTAGGCTCTCTGACTGCTCAGCACTATAGGCTTCTAAGTATGCATGCTCTTTCTGCATGCTCAGGACACCACAGTACCTGAGAAACAGATTATATTGTACTACTGAGGATCACAAAATAAAATATATTTAAGTGCTCCCTTTATTTTTTTATTATTATTTAAAAAGTTGTTCTGTCTTACTGAAGCTCTCTAGTATGTGGCTCAATTCATTTGCAAATTTTTGGTTACCAATATTATTTTGCTCTTACCGTGCTCCTACTTCACTTTATTTACTAGAGCGAAAGAAATTGAAATAGTGAGATGTTTTGTATACCTTGGTTCAATCATCAATCCAGATGCTGCAGCAATCAAAAGATGTCTGTGAAGGGCAGCAATGAAGGAACTAGAAAGATAATCGAGTAGAAGAATGTATCACTGGAGACCAAGAATATCCACACTTGTGCATTTCTAATCACCACGTATGGGTGTGAAAGTTGGACAGGAAATAAGCTGGCGAGGAAAAAAACTGATTTATTTGAAAGGTGGTGCTGGAAGAGAGCTTGGTGGATACCCTGGACTGCCAGAGAAACAAACAAGTAGATTCTACATCAAATCACAGGAGGCAAAAATGTTGAAACTGAAGGTGTCCTACGTCGGGCACGTCTTAAGAAGGCAGGATTTTTGGGAAAAGACAATCATGCTGGGAAAGAGGAAGACCAAATATGAGATGGACTGGCTTGTTAAAGGAAGCCAGCTCTTATGAAAGACCCCAAGACATCATTTCAGTAGCCAAAGAAGGCCAGGCCATGGACGTGATGAGGAAGCTCCCCACCTGGGAACACGTACTTCAGCACGCATTCCTTGACCCCAAGGTTCTGTCTAGAAAACACAGCAGGCAAAAGCCAAGTTTGCATAGTTCCAACATTTAATAAACTTTAATCTCTCTAGCGTTATATCCACATCCATTAAATTAAAAAACACTGGCCACAGGAATCGGCTCCTTGTTTAAATTACAAGAAATAATTTGTGCACCAAAAAGTTATAGAAAAAGAGTCCTGGGCAGCCCCATTCTGCCCCAACGGCACAGCCTCCCTCCACCAGGCAAGCCAGCAGAAGCAGCGGCAACCACCCAGGGGGAGGGCAGGTGGGCAGGCCGGCCAGCAGGCAGGCAGGCAGGCCAACTGACCCACCCCAGGACCAGCGACCGATTGTCATCGAAGAGGACAGAGGGCAAGAAGGCACATGAGGAAAGGTGGAAGCTCCAGTGACTTTGGGCGGATCCAGGGAGGTGCTGGGGACGGCTCAGTGGGTGGGCAGGCAAGCAAGAAGACCCCCTCCCTTCACAGCGGCCCTGTAGGAATACTGCACCCCATCAGGAAGCAGGAAGGAAGAGGGCCCTGTGGGCATCTCCCCCCGCACAGGCTGTTACTGCCTACAGCTCACTCACAGCGTGTGATTCTATGGTATGAACAAACATGTGGACTTGTAAGAAAATGTTCATCATGAAAAGAATGAAAGGCCTCCCGCCCTGCTGACACTCAATTTCTTCCCCCCCTTTCTCTCTATAACCAACTCAGCAATCGATAACCTGCAAGCTAAAAAGGCCCATGTCAATATGAGCCCCTCATGGCATCTTGTTCTGATGCTTTTGACATTTGCTGTAAGCAGCAGTTATTGCAGGCAGGGGATGGGAGCTGGCATCCTGCCAAGAAGCATGGTCTCCCTCACACACACACCCCCGGCTGCGCCAGACAAGCCGTGGACCTGCAAGAGGGGGAATTCCCCTGCCCGCCCCCAAAGCCACTGCCCTCCATACCCCAAGCAGGAAGGAGGGAGCTCTGCCAAATGCCCCCTCCTACCACAAACGGGGACCCACTGGTCCAGTCTAAAAAAATCACTTTGGTTAGTAAAAACCAGAGGAGGAGTGAGGGGGGGGGAGGCTGAGCAAGGTCTCCAGTCTCAGCAGCTGGCCCCCGACTGCAGGGCCTCTGCCCCGGGTCCCCACACAACCCGAAGCAAAGGGGCGCAAAGATTCATCGGGCCCCTCGGTTTCCCCCCTGCTATGCCGGGGGCCGCAGGCTCATCAAAGGGCACTTTGGTCTCTGATGAAGGCAGTCCTCTCGCCGGCCACCTCCTCCTCTTCCTCCTCGGGCCCTTCCTGCCACACCTCGGAAGGCAGCCCCTTGTAGGCGATGAGGCCCCCGCTCTCCAGGGAGCAGACCTTGACCCCCCTCAGACGGAACCCCGAGCGCAGCTGCAGCACCAGGAACACGGTGACAAAGACCAGGACAATGAAGAAGCAGCTGAGGCTGGCCAGCAGGACAGGCAGGTACGAAGAGGTGCTGGCCAGAGTCACGCCCTCTCCCAGGGCAGGAGAGGCCCGGCTGGTCTGCATCTGGTGGGAGCAGCTTTGCTCCTGGCTGTTGTAGTGGGCGTGAGCCGGGCAGGACAAGCACTGGGTGGAGGCCGGCCCCAGGCAGGTGGCACAGGACGGGTGGCAGGGCACGCAGAGGCGAGGGCGCAGGTGGGGGTCCAAGGTGTTCTCCAGCACGGGGGGCTCGGGGTCCGGAGCAAAGCCAGGCGGGCAGGTCTTGAGGCAGCTCTTCTGATGGAGGAAGAAACCCTCTTCGCACACTACAAGGAAGGAAGGAAGGAAGGCAAAGAGAGGACGCCCGTCAGCTTCAAGCAGGTCCAACGGGAGACCAACAGCAGCAGCAGAGGGAGGCAGCTGGGCTACATTCCAGACAGAGGCCTTATCCGATGACGCAGGAGGACAGGACAGGACAGAGGGTGGGGGTGGGACAAAAGAAGTCTCTGCCACGCAGCAGACCTGGATGCACTTCCATGGCATCTGAGACCAGTTCCTTTGCCACCCAAGCAGAGAACCAGCTGAGTAGGAACACTTTCCCCCAGCCGTTCACAAAGAGGGGCTACAGCCAAAAATAAGTGAGGAATGTGTACCATTCCTTTAGCCCTGGATTTAGGCATTCCCGCCTGGGCCTTTTATGCTGAGATGAACTCTGTCCAGACAAAAGTGGCAAGCTAAAAACACTCCCTTCGCTTCTGAGAAGCCTCCAGAGGCTGAAATTTGTTGTTTGGGGGCCTCTCTTGGTCCCCCCCCACAAATAGTTTTAGCTACCCGTCCCCCCTTTTTTTTTAAAATCACAAGTGTCTCATTATCCTAAAAAAAAGGTGGAGTGGGGGGGCGATACACCATGTTCTGGACAGATTAAGTTAACTGACTCTATTTTGCCCCAAACGAGGGTTTTATCGCTCCAGAAAGACTGAGCACAGTCTGCATCATCCCCATCCCGAACAAGGGCCACATGGATTATTTCAGGACAAACCAGGCAGCCCTGCTTGGCAAGAGTGTTGCTTCCTTCAGACTTACCCACACAGGCCTGGCTAGTAGCCAGTATTTTGCAGCCACTGCCCTCAAACTGGTTGGAGAGGCTGGGGGGCTCGGGGGCTGTCCCGTAGAGGACCAGCGTGAACTTGGTGAGAGTCCCTGTGAGCAGGAGGACAAAACGAAGTCAAGCCAGACGTTATTCCTATGCATGCTCCATTCCGCTCTCCACTTCCCTTTGCCACTAGTGCCCTCTGCTGGGGAACATTTTGGGACCTGCACCGCATTCCCCCTACTCTCACTGAAGGCAGCTAAAACCCCCCAAAGATTTCCTAGGATCCCTCTAGGAAAAGTGCTACCTTCACCTAGCTGGATATTTCAGGGCATGACTTTCATCCTCCCCTCCCTTCAAAAGGCTCTACAACAAAGAGGCAAACCACTCCCAGCTCCTTCACCCGTTCCATCCCACCATAAGCGAAAGCAGAGGATTGATCAAGACTGGCAGCTGGCCAAGCTCCCCCCCCCATTTTCAGATGTCCCCCGCCCCACCAGCCAATCAGTCTGGGGCCTCTCAGTGGC